GGAGGGGGGGGGAGTTCTGACACTTGGAAAGACACGGTTGGGGGAAGGGACGACAAGAGTGTGTCATCTAGCTGGGCAGTGGGCAGCACTGGTGTTTTCAAATTGCTAGCATGACTCTTCCAAATGGTGGTGATATCCAGTTCAGACCTCTGAAAATGCACTACTGGAGAATCAGGGCAGGAGGTGGCATCCTGACCCAACGTCTTGCTGCCCCAGAGCTGAATATCAATGTGAACTGCTTTGAAATCAGGACCTGGAAAACCCTTCATGTGGCACCCAGTGATTTAGCTTACATTGGTCTGTTTGCTGTAGGTGACTATACAGACCCGAGGTTCCCAACATGGTGACACCTTTCTTGGTGCCCCACCCCGGGCTTTTAGAAAGCGGGTGGTGCTCTTGCCTTGCAGGGCTTCTAACCTGCCAACGAAGATTTGAATGTCTGTTACAGATTAAAACAGCAGTACTTCAGCAGCAGCTGTCGCCACAATGTCATCTTCATTCTCCCTTCTCATTCCCAGTGTTAATTTGAAAGTTACAACCTGTTTTACACTGCACTGGGGCTTCCTCTGTGTTGGGCTCTGTCTCCTGTGGCGGCCATTTTGTGGCTGTGCCCGTCTTCCTGCGTCAGAATTCCAAAAAATGTCCACAGGCTCAAAAAGGTTGTGGACTCTGGGTATAGACTCCTCTCATCTTATGAGAAAGAGGTAGACTTTTATCATCTCTGGAATCCCTTTAACCCCGTGACTGCACATAATCCCCAGCACACCTGAGCCAGGCGACGTGTCTAAAGACAGCCTGACACGAAGCAACACTCACCTGCACAGAAGAGTCCCCCATAATAAATTTTGCTCCCTCTATAACGGCCAAGTAAGAGAAACGAAGTTGGTCGGCGGTCTGTATGAGCCCCATTCTGTATTTCCTCATTTCCAAGAGAACCTGCTTGATGTCGACAGAAGAAGGATCTTTCCTTTTGTCCATCTGCGCAAGAAAAATGCGAGAGACTGAGCTGGCGCTCCGCCCATGCCTCCAAAGCGGCAGCACAACCACTCACTTGCAGAACTGCCAGAAGAGGTTTGTACTGCGGCAGCTAAACTATTCGAAACCGTCACAGATTACGTGAACTTTTACCAGATCTGGCCACGTAATTCAACGGTTTCAGATCAGTCAGTGTTGTCATTGCCACCAGAGCCATGCTGTCATTGTCCCAATGCTTCAAGGCAGGCCAAATGATGCAACAGGAAAAATCAAACTCTGCAGCCCCATGATAGTCACAGGAAGAGGCACAACAACTACGGAACACCCCCATTCTTTTTTCTAAATCTTGGCTCAGCTTTCCAATTCGCATTTCAAGTTTCATCAGGTACTGCCATCAACATAGCCCGAGTGGCTTGGATGTCGCAGGGGAACTGTTAAAAATTTCCCAGAATCCCGTGCACTCCCAGATGGAAGATGCTGGTGAGTCTTTCCTGCCTTCTCCTCCTTGCAGCAGCCTAAAAAGGAGAAGGTGAGGGCTGGGAGAATCTGTGTGGACAGAAGGCTGCACCTTGGGAGTGGACAGTGGATAGAATTACCTCTATCACTTAAACTAGCAGATCTTTCCGTGTTAGCAGAACAGGTAAAGAAGCCATTTTGCCTGGCTTTTTGTCCACACAGGTTTCCCAAACCCCAGCGTCGCCTTCTGGGCATTCAGCCGGGGCTGGCTGGGAAAGGTGGGAAACAAAACAGCCAGATGTGCAGAAGATCCAACTCCTTGCCTTCACGAACACAATCTTAGAAGTGTGTTAGTTAGTTAGACCTGTCAAAGGTATATGGTACCGGTCAAAGCACATTCCTCTGAGGTTAACCCAATCCTATGCACCTTGCGTGTACATTTCCTTGAATGCACTCAAGCCTTCCTTCCAAGCAAGTGTGCTTGGGATCGGTGAGAGGGTGAAGAGGACAGAATGGGATTCTCCTGCTAGCAAGGACGGCACCGAGATTAAAGTTGGGAGCAACTATTCAAAATCATTGCAAAGACACACAAAAAAATGAAGGCAATGAGTATTTGGATTTAAAAGAACTCTACATTTTCACAGTTCCACTGGCAAGAGAATTGACATTTATTGGCACAAGACAGATGGCAGATTGGGGCCGGGTGGGAGGACTGACTAACAAACAAAAAACCCCTCACTGACAGCTTTGTTTCTTTTAAGATTTGAAATGGAAATGTATTATTACTTGGGGAAACTGGGATTTTCTGCACACTTGAAATATTTGTGGACAGCTTTTCAACAGCTATTTGAACACACTGCTCCTTTAGGTGCCACCTGCCTCTTTGACAAGGGTGCAAAACCATCTGAACTGGGTGGCCTCCACATGCTACCCAGGAGCATGTGCTCAATCCACCGACATATAGAAGCTCGCTGAAGTGGCAGCGGTCAAAGCTGGGATTGTGTTACAGTAGAGTGAGGACAGAGGTCCAAACTACCCTCCTACAAAAATGGATTATTCAAGTTTCTGAAAAGTGTTCAGCTCTCTGCCCGCTTCCACCGAGCCTCTTTGTTATTGCAGTAGACGGCTTCCAAAATTTCCTTTGCATTTTACCTATGAGCAAATGGTTCTTACCAGGAGGAGGCAAGTATCAACCAAACAGAACGTTCCTGATCTCCCGATGCCTGCGCTGCAGTGCACTACGATGGATCCGTGTTCGGGGCTCAGTGACCCCGACTCTCTCACTTTGAACAGGAAGTTGAGGAACGAAGCTGGGGATTCGGGGACTCCAAAGTCAGGCCACGTTGTATAGTGAAAGTGCAGAATCTCTCTGGTTTCGTGCGTCTGCAAAACGTTTTGGTGAGGCTATTAAGATGCTTGCCGATTAGGAAACCTGACATTCTCTATATTTTCACAATCCTTGTTAAAGCTGCCTCAGTGCAAACTATTACAGTCAAGAGAACTTTTTCAAAGACGGATGTCTGTATAGCTACAGACTCACAGCTGAGGTTGTGTTCAAATGGGTTTGCTGCCAGAAATACCACCACCACCAGTTTGTTCATACATGTCCTGAAGTGAGGTGTTCCACAAAGTATTTAAAAATTTATTTTGGGCACTCCCACTATAGGACATGGGTGAATACTCTCATAGCAATAGAAAGATAGATAAATAAAAATATATAGGAAAGGGATCAGCAGACAGGCAACCTGCTAGCAGCCAGTGTGGGGTAGTGGTTTACAGTGCTAGGGTAGGATCTGGAAGACATAAGTTCAAATCCCCACTCATGCCATGGAATTTTGCTGAGTGATCTGGGGCCAGTTTCAATATTCTCACTGTACTGAATTATCTGCAGCAGTCTCCATAAAGAACTATGCTCGTACCCGAGGCTACGTTGCTATTTTAGAGCCACTGGACAGGGATGGATGGATGGATGCTGGCTTGGATCTTCCACAACATTTTCATAAAGGTAACAGGGCTATTGTACAATGGAATGATTCAGGAAGGCACTTTTATTATTATTTTTGGTATTTTTTTAATATGTGCGTGGCTGCATGCGTGCATGTGAGTCTGTGTGCACCTGGAAGTCTGTGCACTTAACCACCACACCAAACTGGCTCTCATGCCATTTGACTGCACTGTTTTATACCATGTAATCTACTTTTGAGTCTCACTGAGAAAAGAGGCCTTATTGAGTAAGTAAATAAATAAATGAATAGCATTTTTGCAGATGGAAGGATCTCCACCCACAGACTGTGACTTCCTCGTCTCCCCTTTCCCATGGCAGCCCAAGCTGCAGAGAAAGGGAGGAGGTGAGAAAGCCACACTCCGTGGGCAGAAATCCTTCTGTCTGTGGAAACACTCCAAGCGAACCAAGTCAATGGAATGCAGAAGAGCTGAATCTTGAGGTACCGCTACAATTTGGTTCCTTAAACATTCATATCATAACTTGCCGTTTGCAAATTATGTTTAAAACACTAAATTTTTACCTTATTAGTATTTAAATTCATTAAAAGAGAATACTGTATTTTTACATTTCTAACTGCATCAAGACATGAGCAGAGTCCAGTGGCACCTTTAAGACCAACAAAGTTTAATTCTGGGTATAAGCTTTCATATGCATGCGCATGATATCTGATGAAGTGTGCATGCACACAAAAGCTTATACCCAGAATTAAACTTTGGTGGTCTTAAAGGTGCCACTGGACTCAAACTTTGCCCTGTTGCTTCAGACCAACATGGCTACCCACCTGGTCTACAGATATGAGCAGAGAATGAGTGTGTCTGTTCATTCAGTACACCAACTGATCAAATGCAAAAAATGAAATCTGCTCCAAGAGCAAGGCCATAGACTTTTATATCAGCATCTTGGGTTTCCTGGAGCAACAACCAGTGAGTCATCACAAGAAAGAAAGAAAGAAAGGAAGGAAGGAAGGAAGGAAGGAAGGAAGGAAGGAAGGAAGGAAGGAAGGAAGGAAGGAAGGAAGGAAGGAAGGAGGGAAATACGATGCCACTTGATGGCATCAGCTTTTCCGTAACTTACTGTCAGGTTTTCCAATTGCAACTGCCGTACTGTATAGTAGGATTTTATATCTTCTGATGTCAAGATGAGCTTCAAGTTTGTGTCTTCAAAGAGCATTTCTTTCTCTTCCTTTTGTGGCCAGTACTGTGCACATTTTATCTAGAAATAAAAAATAAAGCAGAGGATAGACCTATTCACAAGTTTTTTATTCATCATTAAAGAGAACCCTATAACATTATTACTGATACAACACTGGCAGTGGAAAATGCTGTCAAGTCACTTGTGGCGACCCTGTAGGGGTTTTCAAGGCAAGGTTTGCCTCCACATCACTACCCTGGTATTCCTTGGAGGTCTCCCATCCAAATACTAGCCATGGCTAGCCCTGTTTAGCTTCCAAGCTCTGACAAGATTGGGCTAGTCTGGGCTATCCAGGTCAGGGCTGATACAACACTACTACAACAGTACTGGAGATTTATACTTACAGAGTCAATCTCTGGGAGAAATCTGAGGAGGAGGAGCAGCAGAAGAAGACGAAGAAGGGGAGGAGGAGGAGATTGGATTTATACCCTGCCCTTCACTTGGAGTCTCAGAGCGGCTTACAAACTCCTTTCCCTTCCTCTCCCCACAACAGACACCCTGTGAGGTAGGTGGGACTGAGAAAAACTGCTTTTTTTCAAGAACAGCTCTGACAGAACTATGGCTTGCCCAAGGTCATCCAGCAGATGCAAGTGGAGGAGTGGGGAATCAAACCTGATTCTCCCAGATTAGAGTCTGCACACTTAACCACTAAACCAAACTGGCTTAGCCACTACAGCAAACTGGAAGAATATCACACCTGACAATAGCAACCCAATACTCTTAGCACAAAGAAAATATTTCAATTTGTTGGATATATCACTAGTTACCCGCTTCCGGGAACTCTTCTGGGATTGCAAAACATGGTCATTTAGGCAAAACTGACCCCTGCAGCAAGCCAACAAAACAGTCCTGATGACTGATGTGACTTTATTAGAAGAACTGTCAGAAACTTAACGTGCACAAAGCTTTTAACCTTTAATTTGGAAGCAAAGGACAACTGCAATTGAATTGTCCAGTTCACCAAATCCCCTCCTCCAAAATCACAGTCTTATGAGATCATTTTGAAGCCATATGGGACAGCTTAAAAGGTTATGTTTTATTCTAACTGAAAATTGGAGCTAGCAGGCATTCCGATTACCTAACATCTTGACTGATCATAGTAATTTTCTCAGTAATAATTTCCTAGGAAATCCAGTGCTTGCATCATTAGAATGCTTACATGGTACAAACTTTTAGTCAGTCAGCTGCGCAAAGAAAGTATCCAGAGCTCGAGGAGAAATCTAACTAAAGAATCACTGAGTTAATAATACATACGAGAGAAAGTCTACAATTGTAACCACCAAAAACATGCTAATTGAGAACTGCATCTCTGCAGAAGTCGACACCGTTCCTCTGGCTAGGATTATTATCCGTGACGCACAAAGAGGGAAATGTTATTTTTAATGTTACATTTTCAGTATCTTATTGTCAAATGGGAGAAAAGGCAGAAACAAACGGGTTATTACATTGCTTTAATTACTGATCAAAAGACATTATGAATCAGATGGTAACGCTGGAGATCTTTTATAGAACTGAAACCAGAGGGAATCACAAAGAGTTCCAGGCAACAGGCTATCAGCCCTAAAAGCATTTTATGCAGAGACAATGATCGAATCCCACGTAGTTCAGCCCATTACAGAGGTTCACCGATGTCTTTCTTCCTTCAACTCCCAAACAGCAGGGCTCTGCTGGGTATAGCAAGGAATCATAATTTTCTGCAACCGTGTTTTTAATTACAACTGCGCAAAGAACAATTTTCCCCCCCGTGTGCAGTATTTGCACCCAATGGCTCGGCAAATAAAGATTTGCCAAGTTCCCACTGAGTATCTCCCCCACAACAGTTTCTCAAGAAGCATTTGCAGCCTGCCCCAGGGGACCTTAATAATTCTTCGCTTTGTTCGTGCTTACTGGCAGCGGAGGACGGGTAAATGGGGGTGGATGGGAGAGGGAGGAATGGCTGAGCGTGTGGTTACTGCACTTCTCTCTTTTTAGATCTGTTTCACTACTCATATTCATGTAAAACTGGAAACGTCCATTCAGCAAGGCAGAGATCACTTCAGACCAGTCTTCCTGGTGGAGAGAAGCCTTTCTTCCATAGTGCAAGGAGCACTGTTCACTTGCCATTTAGAAGAGGGCCAGTAACCAATACTTCCAAGAAGTGCTAGCCTCTAGATAGGACATTTACTGCAAAGCAAGCACTGCGGAATGGAAACTAGGGACACTCACGTCTGGCAATACCTTTAAGGGAGAAGACAGAAGCAGCAAAGAGTGCAGATCAAGAATCCTGGGCGGGAGGGGGGGGGGCACACTGGGCTGGGGTACATATTTCAGGAAACTTGCTCATGCCAAGGTTTGTGCAAAAATTATTAAAGGTTTAGAAAATTGGGGAATAATAATTTCAAAAAGTAACAAGTGGTATCTGTACGTAAAGTCGTAGTGAGAAAACACCTGGTCAACAGGTTGGTACACAGAAATCTACGATGCTGCACGCATTTCACCCCCCCCCCCAAAAAAAGGGACTGCTAATCAGGTGGGTTGGGGATGGTAGGAGGAATGAACAACTGGGCAGGTGGCCAGAGGGACGCAAGAAGAGGCAGACAAGAGGGGAGGAAGCAGGGACTCATGGGAGGGAATGGGATTCCCCCTCCCCCGTGAGTCCTCACGGGTCCTCCCTTTTGTTGTAATCAGTCATCATAATCATCTCCTGGTGCATGTTTGAGTCATCAGGTGAATCCACTCAGTTTCACAACGGAAATGACATATAGACTTACAAACGGAACGCCAGTGATGCTATTGACTTCAACTCTTGCCTAGGCTTTTTTAATTTTATACACATGCCATATTTAACTTTTAAAGGATTTTGTAAAAAAAGTGTAGCTATTATCTCCCCCTCCCCACACAAAAACAAGTTGTTTGAGGACATCATGGGGACAGCCAATCACCACTTGCAATTCTACTCCAAAGAACCATTTCTTTGTCACTGCTTGATTCTGGAGAAAAGTTGAATACGTTTGGACTAAACCCAGCAAGAGTGCTCCCAGAATAATGCTACCACTCGGTACATGCTATGTCCAATGTTCCCTCTAAGTTGTGGAGTCTTGTGAGCAAAAAATCTACTTTGTGAGTTACTGGCATTAAAGTTGTGAGCAAGCGATTTTGGCTACTGCGTAAATTAGTTTGCTCTGGAGCCCTCCTTCCTGAGCTAAGACACAAATGTGTGAGCTGGAGGCTAAAAAACTGTGAGCTAGCTCACACTAACTCAGCTTAGAGGGAACACTGGCTATGTCTGCCTTCTCCTTATGATAAATGGAGTAGACTGGTCTCTTAACTAGGACTGGACAATGGCACTCCACCAGCACTCCTCACTCAATAGTCTGCGGTAAGATTAAAAAAAACAAACCACCTCAAGGAAGTAATAGACAATAGGGAAGTCCATGTATAGGAATACAAAAGGAAGTCACAGCTGAACTACAGCTAGCTAGCAAAGTCACAGAAACCTCTAGTGATTCTGAAAGCTTTCTAGCTTAGGGAGCCTGTAATGATTCCTTGTTTTACTGTGTCTGTGTTCCTTTAAATGTTTGGTTGGTGTGCAGTGATAGCAGAGTAGAGTGATTGAGGGAGAAAAGTGTGGTGTGATTGGAAGATGAGAGTGTGTGGGAGGAGTTTTTGAAGTGAATCTGTGGGTGATTTCTCAAAAACCAGGATCACGAAACTGCGGAGGAAATCGGGCGAAGCCCCGAGTCAAAATGCAGCCCCGGAGCTTCGGGTGTGAAATTGACACGTTTGTGTCGAGGCAAACGGCGCTGTGCTGCGAGGCAGCTCTCGTGAGAAATCACCCTGTGTGTGTGTGTCTTGAAGTCAATTATGAAAAGTCAGTTAGAAAAAGCAGTTGGAGATATTCAGTTAGTGAGTCAGTAAGTGAGCTGACAGAGTCTGTGTGGAAAAGTAAAGAGTTTAGAGTTCAGTATATACAGCTTTAAGAGTTAAATGTGAAGGATCTATGAGAAGGGTCTGTGAGACTCCAAAGTTATAGAAGAGAATTAATACAAAGAGCTTTGTCAGTGTGGCTGCCCAGTGAAAGAGTGATTCCTGTTAGAGAGGGATCTTATGATCAAAAGACTGTGTGTGATACCTTGCCAGTTTATTTTACCAGTTTCTCTTCCCCAAAACAGCATCTTACTTTGTTCTTATTTCAATAAATCCTATTTTGTTTAAGTTTAACCCAGAATTCAGTTCAATCCTTCCTCAGGGCCACATGAAAGCCCAGACTCTGGGTCACATTACCAACAATAGCTAATGAGAGAAGATTTGGAATTTGTTTAAATTCCTGGTGGCAGTAGAAACTACCCTGTTTGTGAACACCAAGTATAACTTAAAGTGAAGACCAGTCCTCCCCAAATAAGAGGATGCCACATTGGCCCTAGCCCCTATGGCAGCTTTTTTGTGCGCCCTTGGCCAAATTCACGGCTGAGGTGCCTGGCATGCTTGCCACAGAATCCCAATGCACTGCAGGTCCTTTCTGGGGCATGGTTTCAGAGGTACCTATAACGTGGGGTCTTATAAGGTATGGGACATCTTCATGCTGGAGAATCTCTCAATCTATGACTCAACATCCAAAAATGAGTGTGAATTCTATAACCCTCTCAGTATTTGGAGTCCCATCCTACAAAAAATTTCCTTGACACAATTCGATTGGTCAGACATAGCCAATGCAAAATTTAAAATAATGCTGTTTAACTAGAGATATTTAAACAACCGAATTCTCTGAACTAGACATGTAAAAGAAATAGTTGGAAAACTTAGTTACGTTTAGAAGTAGCATGAGTTGTGCACCTAACCTGTGTTTATGCTGTTTATGTAACGCTGGATTACGTATTGTGTTATAATGTTATACTGGAATGTATTCTAAAAATTTCAATTAAAAAATATTGGGGGGAAAAACAGAAAAAAAAAAGGTTTGCTTTGTGTTGCCTTGTGTGGCCTAGAAGATACTTGACATTCTCTTTCACTTCATGCCTGCTGTAGAAGGGAGGGATTAAGAATGGAAGGGAAGCCGTGTTTCAAGTCTGCCATTTCCTGACCTCCCCATTCAGGGAGGGAGTCCAGCTAAACAGGCATCTCAGGATACAGTGGAATACGGTTTTGGAAAATGGGCCTCAAAGCATGTTTTCAACCAGATCACACTAACCCCAAGTGGTTAAAAAAATTAGTAATCATTTTACTTTTCAAAAGAAGAAGAGTTGGTTTTTATAGCCCATTTCTCTCTACCTTAAGTAGCCTCAAAGCGGCTTACAATTTCCTTCCCTTCCCCTCCCCTTATTCCCTTGTGGGGTAGGCAGGGCTGAGAGAGCTCTGAGAGAACAGTGACTGGCCCAGGGTCACCCAGCTGGCTTCATGTGGAGGAGTGGGGGATCAAACCCAGTTCTCCAGATTAGAGGTCACTGCTCTTAACCACTACACCACGCTGATTCCCAAAAGCAAATGCCTGACAAAAATCAAAACCTGACAACAACCCACTGCATGTCAGATTGGTTTCCATGGTAAAAAAAGGTAGATGTTTTTAGTACAAGATTCCCGCACACTAAGCCTAGTGCTTCTGAGTACAATCACTATAAACATTGAATATATGCTTTTTAAAGGCACCTGAAAGAGGGAGGTAATATCACACTAAAACATGGTCTCTTGATTTCTCCCTTGGGTTCCCAGGGTAAAACGTCCAGTCAGTAGCATCCTATACATACCACTCTTGACAGTGTAAAGGGGGCGTCCAAGCAAGAGGGCATGTATTTTAAAATGCGCAGAAAAGCACAGATGATGCATCAGCCTAAAGCCTAACTGCCACAAACACCTCTTTACTGACAGAAAAGGAACTATACCGGATCCTGTTTATGCTGCATACATGTTTGCCATGCAAACTGTGGCATAGAGGGCCTTTTGAAAGGAAACCGAGAAAAGATCAAAAAGAGGCAACAGCTGTATTTGCTCCATTTCTGGCCATCAAGGACTGCACTAAGAGGATTTCTAACAGCTAGGATGCGACTCATCTATTAGTGCTGCATTGGTTGTTTTTTTTTAAATCACAAAGACCAACTTTTGATACAAAAGTTGCCTTTTTGTAAAGGTATGAAGGGTACGTGGCCCACGGGTACATGGCCCGCCCTGCCCCCTTACGCAATCTGGCAGCCACTGAACCTTAATAAACGGGTGCCAGAGCATTAGCATACTTTAAAAAAAAAAACTGGAAACGGCTTCTTCCCTCAGTGTTCTCAGCCAGTCTGGAAGCAAAGAAAGAATGCAATAGGGTTGCTGACCTCTGACTGCAGCCAATCAGAACAGACTATGTGGGGAGGGCAAACTAAGCCCTTACGCTCCTTTATGCGGCTCTGCTGCTATGCACTGTGGTGTATAAAAATCTGCATTTAAGAAGCCAAGCAGACATGCATCAATATCTCGATTAACAGAAACCTTGAGAAATGCCCACTACTGTACTCATATTTCACACCTTTACAAGAATACCCCTTCTGCCCTCCCCCTGGAATCACTGGAAATGAAGGGGTGCATAAAATAGTCATGAAACTTAGCCCTGGCTTTAATGCCTTACTGCTCATCTATGAACTAACTAAAAACCAGGATGGAGTGGGATGAAGCCCAAACAAATATGCTCAGTCTAGCTATACCCAAATGCTGACAAAGCAGAGAGGTTAAGTAAATAATATTCCTGAACTGGGTTGCTGTGTGGTCATACTGTACTGAAAGCACAAACTTGGATTTTGAGAGCTTGGCATAGTCTATCTTATTCCCACACGACTTAACCTAAATCTATTCTTTTACTTAGCCTTTGGCAGACACATTACTGGATAAAAATTCTTAAAATGCATTTCTTGAGGATTATATTTGCAGGGTTTTTTTAAAAAAAAATCCACATCCACAGTGTGTGCACACACACACACACACACGCTGGGTTTTTTTTTAAAAAAAATCCACATCCACAGTGTGTACACACACACACACACACACGATACTTACTGATCCCTTTTCCATCACTCTGTTGAGCATGACAACACCACGGCTTTTCTGTTCCCAAACCATCTCCCAAAAGTGACCACAAGTATTTGGCAGAGGACCCTGCAAAGATATAGAACCTTCAGGAATAAGCAGTACTTACTGTGGCATACAAGTTCACAGTGGAGCCTAGCAACAGTTCTCTCGTTCTAAACTCAAACACAGTCGGTGGCTTCTGTTTTTAGGTATATGAAACGCAACATACTTTAAGTGATTACTTTTTCTCTCTACTGCGGTGCTGCCAAAAATGAATGCTTCATCATGCACAATTTTCACGATTTCTCTGCAAACACCTAAGGAAGCTCAAGGTCCTTATTTACCAGAGGGGAAATGAGAAAGAGAAGTTCTAAGAAAGCTTGCCCAGAAAGGATGTGTATGATGCTCTACAGGATGAATTTGAGATATCTGTCCAAGTTAGCGGGGACTTGTGATCTGCAGAGAAGGGGGACATTAGAATGAACGGCTAGGAAGTTTATTCATCTTTAGCACCTCGTGAAAAGTCTTGGCATTGCACTGGTATGGAAGGTCAGAAATGGTCTGCTGTTCCTGCTAGATGTTTACCCTATCCACTTTCAAAGTAGCCTCTCTTCTAGGTCAAAGGTTCTTCCTTTCCCACCAGTCTCTCACAGATCAAACCCATAATGCCCGAGGTATTAAAATGTATCTACAAAAAATTTGCCCAGGATCTAAACGTTACCCAGAGATGGGGTCGCTCCCACAAGGTTTGCAAGTGCAGTGACTTGACCCTTGGAAGAAAGCATGAGGGACTGCCGAGTGGCCGAATGTCAATTCCATTAGACCACAACCGATGCTTTAATATCAACCGTATGGATGTCTTATCCTCTAGCAGTTAAAATAAATAATCCAGAATGGCTCTTGCCAGGAAATCAGAGCCAGAGGGACTTGAACTGCCAAGGCTGAACTTAAAACTAACACTTCTGCAACTGGAGGGAGTACAGAAAGTCAGGCACCAAGCTCTGTAGGCCCTAAACTCCCATTTTTACTGGGGACGGGCACATGACTCACTCTTGATATTACAATACTTCCGGCATGATGAGCTAAGCCCCTGCAGTGCCTTTGCTTTACTACTGCTTACACCGAATTGGTGTTCCAACGGTTTATCTGATTTAATACTCAGCAACCCCATCTGTGACCCTGTGCTGTTATAAAGTGAAGTCTGACATAGAGATGAAACGATCCCCCCCCCCAGCTCCCCTTTAATACTCCTGAGGAGTCAATCCAAAGATGTTCCATCAGATTGCAAGTATCTTAGTAGAGCAGAGCCAAGGAATAAACTGAACCTTTCCTGAAAACCTAAGGAAAACCCGGATGCAGAAACTGCAGAAATACATGCACAGGGTTCTTTAAAAAAAAATAATTCTTCATACTTGGCAGATACTGAGGAACCTTAATAAATATCTGGGTGTGTCATTGATTCCTAAATTGCAGGATCCAAACAGCATGCAATCTAGTCATTTAACAATCCCTAATGTGTAAGGTCTCTGTTGACACAAGAGACAGGTCGTGGCTCAGTGACAGAGCATCTGCTTGGCATGCAGAAGGTCCCAGGTTCAATACCCAGAACTTCCAGTTAAAAGGGCCAGGCAGTAGGTGATGTGAAAGACCTCTGTCTGAGACCCTGGAGAGCTGCTGTCAGTCTGAGTAGACAATACTGACTGTAATGGACCAAGGGTCTGATTCAGTATAAGGCAGCTTCATGTGTGTGTTCACGTGAGAAAATGGGGGTGGGGAGCACAAACACAGGTCAGGCTGCTAAGAGGACTCATGAATTTGGTTTCAACTCAACGAGTGTACAATGAAAGGGGAGCTCAGATTCAACTGCAAAATCCAGACAGGATACTGTGATCATACCTAATCTGAAAAATATTAAATTTATTAAGTAACAGGTCCCAACATCAGATATCAAACAGCCAACTATGGTTCTACTGCACGGATAAAATAATCTGCCATTTTAGATGTTTCTGCAAACTCAAGGGAAGCTCCAGGTTTGCAGAACAATCTTAATACTAAAAAGGGGAGAGGATTAAATAAAACTTGCAATAATATAAAACCACAGAGCTGTCACGAGATTCCCCGATTTTGGGTTGCCTAGAAAACCCCAGATAACTTCATCCAGGCAACTAAAAATGGCAGCCAATATCTCATGAGATAAGACTCGCACGGAGTGTCACATGTATGACTATCTTAAATAAAACTTGCAATAATATAAAACCACAGAGCTGTCACGAGATTCCCCCTGATTTTGGGTTGCCTAGAAAACCCCAGATAACTTCATCTAGGCAACTAAAAATGGCAGCCAATATCTCATGAGATAAGACGCGCACGGAGTGTCACATGTATGACTATCTGCCCACTGGACAGAAATCTTGGGTGTGTGCTCAGTGCAAGGAGCTCCTGGTTCTCAGGGAACATGTTTGCTCCCTTGAGGCCAAGGTGGCTGACCTGGAGAAGCAGAGACAGTCAGTTAGGCACATGGAGAAGACTCTCAGGGACTTGCTAGATACGTCCCATTCTGGTTATGGCAGCCCCGCCGCTGCCAGGGAGCATGAGGGTCGCGAGGGAACAGGGCACCGTGCTGAGGATAAGGGGAATGTGCCCTCAGAAGGGACCTCTTCTTCAGCTGGTGAATGGGTATCCTTTTGCACCAAGGAACCATCCCTGGACAGGGAGGGAGGGG